TTTAATTTAGTTAATACTGGAGTACTTGTGGGTTCACAATTTTTATACTTAAAGCAATGAATTCTTTGAATAATATATATTTTAATAGAAAAGCTTTTATAGGATATTTTATTGAATCTATCTTTTACACGCAGAAGAATTGATTGAATTAGTTATGCCAAAAATATGAATACTTTTTTTACATACGACTTTATTGAAATTATCAATTCAATTTTTCATCTTTCGTTGATTTATTCCTCTTTTAAATTATTTACTACAATCTAAACCATTTAGCAAAGTTGTGTTTAATGATTTTAAACAATACTTTCTAAAATTATTTTTTAGTAATGAGTCAACCCTCATATTGTTGTCAATAATTTTTTTTTATTTGGGACAATATTTGCTAGGTATCATTCAGTTCAACTAACAGTTTTTGAAAAACAGTTTGTTTTAAATGAAATATGTAGAAGGTCAATCGAACTACTATAAAAATTTTGACTAGCGTTAAACATTATTATTCTACTTTAGTAGGGCAATTAAGGTGGATTTTTTTTGTTTCAAAAATTGTGCCATAATAAGGTTTGCGAAGCATAGCCGAAGCTGTGAACCCACTCGTTTTTTCTAATATCGGATCTTAAAAAAAAATTAGAAAAATATAAAAAATTGATCATAAAAGTCGAGAGCTTTTACGGCGCCCGGTTATAACAGCTTAGTGTAATACTTTTAATGACTTCAATAAAATAAGATTTATCGTTGAAGAAGCTTAAACGTTTTACAATTATGATATTTTCACAAACGTAAATTAGAAGAACTTATACCGACTTGTAGCTAAAGAAATCATAATTTTCACTATAAATTATTTTTTCTTAGTTACCTTATTCCATCATTCACATCTTATATAAGTCACAACACACTAAAATATTAGGAAAAGCTGCAATACTAATAAGTTTTTTAAAAACAATTTTCTCATAACTTTGCCATAAATAAGCAATGAAATATGAAAACTTAATGATATATATATATATATATATATATATATATATATATATATATATATATATATATATATATATATATATATATATATATATATATATAATATAATGTATATAATATAATATATATAATATATGTATATATATATATATATATATATATATATATATATATATATATATATATATATATATATATATATATATATATATATATATATATATATATATATATATATATATATATATATATATATACGGCAGGGTCACATTTTGAAAATTTTGACATTTTACACTTTTTAACTTTATAAACAATATTATTATACATTTTATTTGAATTCAAATCAAAAAAACAATTGGATTTACCTTTATAGTTTGATGGAACTTAATAACTTTTTTTTATTATACTATACATACCTCCCCGAAAAGACAAGTGTTTATGAATTTAAATAATATTCGCAACTTACTAATAGACCATTTATATTTTTTGAATTATCAAGACTCATACTTACGGCTATAAGTCTTTGTTTTTCAAAATAACCACAGGTGATTTGGTTAATGTAAATTAAATAATAAAAATGGCAACACTTGAAATATCAATAGAAATGCTAAAGAAATCCAAGAAAAGAAAAAGTAAGGAAAGATTGCGTGAAATTATAAAGAAACAAAGATTATCATCGCATAAAACAGGGCTTGGATGTAACTGTATAAGGCTGAAATGTTTTGATAATGTTAAAGAAGAAGATAGAAAAGTGTTAATAAAATATTTTAACTCTCTATCCAGCAAGGATGCTCAAGATTCGTATCTTGCAAGTTTAATAACTTTAAATAACGATTCAAGAAGAAGACCACGAAACATTAATTCAAAAGGTTATAATAGCAGTTACACATATAAACTTTTTATTACAAATCACGAGATAATTGCGAGTTCGTATGTTTATGTTTGCTTTTCTGCGTTTATTTCAATCTTTGGCATAAAGAAGGGAAGATTGGAGACCATTAAAATAAGCCTTTTAACTACAAGTAAATTATATATTTTCATTGAATACAAAATGACTATTTTTAGTGGAAGTTATCTTATATATAAGTTTTTTTATATATTAATTTTTTTTTTTTCTCGTTATAGGTCACTCTCCCCATGATAAAAAAGGTAAACACAAGAATCAGTATAACAATTTTACTCCTCAACTAAAAAATAAGATATGTGATCACATTTTTTCTTTCAGAGGTAGAGAGTCCCACTACTCTCAAAAAAAAAAACTAGGCGACTAAATCTTCCTTAAGAATTAAATATAACCAAGATGTATGACTTGTTTAAAATCAAGTATGCAAATGATAAATTGTCATATGAATCTTATCGCAACATATTTAACACTAGTTTTAACATTTCTCCTAGGACTGACACATGTTCAAAATGTGATGAGTTTAAAATTAAAATTGATGCAATAAAAATTGAACTATCTTTTAATTCAGAATGTACAAAGCCTGAACAACAATTGCATGAGCTTGAGTTACTGAAAAAAACAGCACCACAAAGATGCAGAAACATTTTATGTCAGGAAAAGAAATGCTCGGTTTAAAGCACAAAGGGAGTACAAATTTGAGGCAATTGCTTTTGATTTCCAAAAAAATCTTAACTTACCAAATCAATCAACCAACGACTTTTACTACAAACGAAAATTAGCATTTTATTCATTTAATATTCGCGTGCTTTCAAGTAATGAAGTTTATTTGTATTGTTATAATGAAACTATAGCTAAAAAAGGGGCTGATGAGGTAACTTCGATGTTATATGATTTTTTTATAAAACATTTAGACAAAGAAATTTGATCTGTAGAGCTATTTTGTGATTCATGTGGTGGCCAAAACAAAAACTATACATTAATTCGTTTTATGGATTTTCTTGTACATAAAAAAAAAAGAAAAGGTTTGACTATATTAAAGTTACATTTCCAGAACGTGGTCATTCTTTTATGGAATGTGATAAAGATATGGGATTAATTAATTGCAAAACACCCACTAGTGATCCATCAGATTGGATTAAAACATTCAAAAATGCTCGTAAAAACCCCACTCCGTTTCATGTTATAGAATTAACGCAAGGTATGGTTAAAAGTATAACTGATTTTATGTGACCATTTTATTAGAATAAATGTCCAATTCCAACACGGCCTCTTCGTGAAATTTGTTTCAGAGGAGACTCAAGTCGCATTGTATTTCATCGTGATTCGTGAAATGAATTATTGTTGAAAACTAATTTAAAAAATAATAGGAAGAACACTATAAATAGTGAGATCCCCATTCTGTATAATGCAAAACTTTGCATCTCTGTGGCAAAGTACAAAGATTTACAAGTATTAAAATGGTTTACATCGAATGCTCAGTTTTACGATTCTTTGTCATACAATCAGGAGGTTATTGAGACATTTCATAAAATTATTGATTCTGAAAATGAAGAGTAAATAGACTTCTTTTTTGATTTATTTTTTTTTTGTTTTTAGTTATTTTTTTCTAAGTGGTTTTTGAAAAAATCTATAATCTTTAATATGTTTCTCCTTTGCACTTGATATACAACAATTTATATAACTAATAATCCCAAGGTATTGAATATATCTTTTGACTATTAGTCAGGGTATGAAAATAAAAATTCAGATCAAATAAATTCTGAGTTGTTTGAAAACCTATAAAGTTTTAAATCCCCTTTATTATCAGGAAAGAAACTTTGCATTAATAACTTTTTGCTTACAGTTTTGTGACACCTATATAGGTATAGTTATATAGGTATTTAATAGGTTAACCTTTAAATAAAAAACAAATTGCACTTTTTTATCAACAGTGATATTTTTGAATGTAAGATTTATAATAAAAATTAAAGTCATTCGTAAACGAGAACTAGAACTAATACTATAATCATTTTCTATACAAAATATCTTCAGACAACTTTTGATATCTCGAACCTGCAAGGGACCGATTAATTAGTTTGAGATTAAAGAATTTTCGAGTTATCGAGAGTGTAATCCATAAATAAGGGTTCGACTGGATTCAAAAAAGTTTGAGATATCAAGTATTAAAGATATTAAGAGTTGACTATAGGTGATATTTTTGTGCACGAATAAAGAACAAAAATGAAACCTTTTGTTAACGAAAACTATAATTATTTTCTAAACGAAAATATCAACACTAAACAGTATTTTTAATTTTAGTTCAACCCCCTAATCTTTTGAGCTAATAAAAAAAAAAAAAAGCTAATAAAATAATAATAATAATAATAAAAATAATAATAATAAAAAAAAGCTAATAAAAAATAATTCATATTTTAGCTTTTTACTTGATCTAAAAACTAATAAAATAAAATAAAACATTTTACCGGGGAAAAAAGTCGACAAAAAACCTCACTTAAAAAAGAAAGTCTATCACGTAAATTTTTTATTTTTAAATTAGAAATGCAACTTTAATTGCATAAAAAATTGGTTATTTTTGTAATATATCTTAAAAATTTTAATCTTTTCCCTAAAAATAAAAAAGTTATATAGGTTTAAAAGTTTAAAAATGAGTTATCGCAAAATGAAAAAATGTGACCCTGCCGTTTCTTCCCGTGGAGTCTTCACATATATATATATATATATATATATATATATATATATATATATATATATATATATATATATATATATATATATATATATATATATATATATATATATATATATATATATATATATTTTCATACTTTTCATTTGGTGAAATACATTTTTTGACATTTACAAAATATTTGTATTTAAATGCGTGAAACTAATACATAAAACTATTTATAGTTTAATGAAAAAATTGCATTTCACTAGATTGATACATGCCTAAAACTTAAAGTTGTGAAAATCACGTTTATTTTCTACATATATATTACATATATAAGTAAAACCTTAAAAATAACTCATATGGCATTAGTAGTTTTCTAGAGTACCCTGTAATCCCTTCTTACCCTAACTTTTCTATATTTTATTACAAATAAATAAAATAAATAGCAAATCAATCAAAATGCTTAATTGAGTTCTAGGTTCATACGCACAATTAAATTTTGCGTTCATACGTATAATATTGAAGATCAATCACCAATTGCTACCGCTGATCAGCCTCTCATTAATCACTAACACTGTTTGACCAATTACCTATAATCTCATTAGTTGACTAAAAACCAAGAGCTACCAATGTTTGAACACCAATTATCAATCGCTATCGCTATTCGAATCACTTAGTTGTAAGTCGTCCTCTGAAATAATTAATAAAGCAAGTTAAACAAAATTAAAAACAATTAATAACAAAATTAAATAACAAAAGAATAAAAGCACAGAATGAATGAACAAATAAACGCACAGAATGAACATAACAGCAACCCAAAAAAAAAATCAAGACATTTTTATATGAAGATACCTATGAAGATTACCTATGAAGATAATTATTAATAAATAGTGTACTTAAGATATTAATTTTAATTGTTTGACTTTAAAATAATATTAAATCAGAATTTGTAAGATTTTAACGATGAAAACTAATTAATTTTTCAATTAATCCCTCCTCGCCACAAAGTAAAGTTTTAACACACCCTGAGCATTCAAAAAATAATATACTGAGATTAGAAAAAGAACTTGCCCATTGGTAAATCTGCCTAGATTACCTCCTAAAAATAGTGTTATATATAACAAACGATTGTGTTTATATCTAACACAAAATTTGATTTTATCTAAATTTTAAATATTTTAAATATTATAAACTTTATATAGGAACTTTTCTCCTAAAGCCCTGAATATTAAAATTTGAGTTCATATGAAAAATATTCATTTTACTACAAACAAAATGTTTAAAATATTATAGAACAACAACAACAACAACACAACAATAACAATAATAGTAATAATAAAAAAACACAATAGAAGCAACAACATAATAATAATAATTATTATTATACATAAAAGCTCTTGTAACAAGTGGAAAAATAACTGTTGTGCTATGTATAGACAAAACATCACTTTAAACAACTTTATTAACATCGACCGACTACAACATAAACAAAAGGTCACTTTGTTACTTTAAAATCTTTAACTACTATCGACCGACTTCAACATGAACAAAACGTCTCTTAGTTTAAAGAACTTTATTAACATCGACTGAATGCAACATGAATAAAAAATCCCATTATACAAAAAACAACTATAACATAAAAACATAAAATTTAATTCATATAAAATGATTTTATTTCACAAGGAAAACATGTTTTCGTTGTGGCTTAACAAAAACAACAATAATAGTTACTAATACTAAAAATAACATACGTAGAGTGCTCATTCTATTAGCTGGAGGAGGTTGGTATGGCTTTGTTATGAGCTGAAAACAAATAAATAGAAAACATTTTTATTATCAGAGTAATAATTACAAAAACAATTAAAAAATATAGAAAAAAAACAAACTTCATCAAGTGCATTTGGTTTGCTGTCGTCATCACTTTCTGAATCAGATGATTCGGAGCTTGAAGATGAATCAGATGACATACTAACACTGCGATTAACCTTTTGAATAACAAAATTAAATGAAAATAAATCTCATAATATAAAATGACTGAAAAATCCAATATTAAATAAAACATTTAGTTAAAATATATAAATTACTACAATAAGTAAAACAAATTTTATTATGTTACATAAGAGAGAGCGGGGCACCATGATGCATATTTGTCTTAGCTTCGTAACTATGTTTTTTTATACGTAATTTGTAGATTAAACTTATGCCTACATAATTAAATACATTATTTACCAAAATATAACAGGTTAAACTTGCTGAGACTATTTTAAGTAAAATTAAAAATTTGTATCGAGGTATCCCACAATTGGTAAAACGTATGAGAACCATTAAAAAAGTAAATAAAAAGTATAAAACTAAGAGAAGAGATTTTTACTTGAAAGAAAAAACAAATTAATAATTATAACTCAAACTATGCATCAAATGGTCCACTAAATCACATAAAATTCATTCTTAAGCGTCAATAAATAATGGCATTGTATTGAAATAAGATCTTCAAATATTATATTTATATAAATCTTTTAAAAATTTACTGTAAGTATTAAAAGAAATGATTCAATGTGTCTAATAAAAGACAGATTGAATAACATACCTTAAAACTTGGCAACTTAAAAAACTAATAAACTACTTTTTCATAAAAAAACAGCAAAAGATAATCAACTTCTCGCAGGTTTAATGATATCTAGTAATATCTAATGAAATAAATTTTTCGTCAAAACATAGCTCTAGTAGAAACTGTTTTATCTAATAAAGGTGGGTTATCAACTCTTAAGGTAACTCCACAATAGCAATTTTTCATGGTGCTCTTACACTAATTGCTCCTACTGCAACTAATTATGTAATGATTTTTAGATTTGTAATTGCTAAACTAGACTTTTTTTTACTGAATATTTTTATAAGATTTAAACACTTACTGTAGAAGGTGGTATCTGAGACGGCAAACTTTTAGGAGTGT